TATCCACCCAGACCCACAGTTCTAGGTTTCTCCCCAACTCTTTTTATTATCCCCTTTTTATGTTGTTTATTTTTAGACCTTTATTTTAGACCTTCGAGGTCTGCTTGCATACAATACTGCTTTATGAATAACTAATATAACCACTCTGATCCAATAACAATTCACTTCTTTTTTAGAATGCCCTTAGGAGCAGCCACAAAGTTCGCATTCATTTTTCGGGTCAAGTGCTTTTGATAAATAGATTAAAAACCGAAAACACACTTGGGATAAATGCAGAAGGTTATCAAGCGCCTGAAAAGATGTCTGTATTCTTTCTTAATGAAAATGAGATGCTGAGTAGGAGCAAGACCTATGGGAACACTGAAGATTCGTTAGGAGATGCTTTATAGGGGAGAGGCAATGTCAAACGATTCTGCTCGGAATTGCAGCTGTTAAGCCTCAGCTGGAAGCCATGGAAGAAGCTGTACAAAAATGTTTATTCCAATAAGCTGGGAAAAAAATTAGATCAAACGTTATCTTAAGGATTGGATGTGCCTAAATAAATCCATGTGTTTGTCCTCTTTACCCTTTGCAACGACCTAGTGGAGTAGCTTAACGTAGATGATTAAGGAGGTCAAACAGTAATGAAGAAACATGGTTGTATAAAGCCACCTCTGCAAAACCAGGTAAAAGCCAACGTAATGTTTAAACTGAGGGGATGGGTGAAGAGAGCTGCCTGTTCTTTGCTTGTTAGGCAGCTTTGCCTTCTTACCTGTTTGTGCCAGAGCTAAAGATGTGCTTTTAACTTACCTCCTCCTCCTCTTCTGGGCTGCTCTGTGCCTTTTCCAATTCCTTTTACTTTGAAAGTACCTCCCATGAGGGGACTGAGTGCTCCCTTGGTAAGTTTGCAGATGACACCAAGCTGGGCGGGAGTGTCGATCTGCTGGAGGGTAGGAAGGCTCTGCAGAGGGATGTGGACAGGCTGGATCGATGGTCCAAGGCCAACTGTATGAGGTTCAACAAGGCCAAGTGCTGGGTCCTGCCCTTGGGTCACAACAACCCCATGCAATGCTACAGGCTTGGGGAGGAGTGGCTGGAGAGCCGCCCGGTGGAAAAGTACCTTTGGGTGCTGGTCGACAGCCAGCTGAACATGAGCCAGCAGTGTGCCCAGGTGGCCAAGAAGGCCACCGGCATCCTGGCTTGGATCAGGAATGGTGTGGCCAGCAGGAGCAGGGAGGGGATCGTGCCCCTGCACTCGGCACTGGTGAGGCTGCACCTCGAGTGCTGTGTTCAGTTTTGGGCCCCTCACTCCAAGAAGGACATGGAGGGGCTTGGAG